GGGGGGAGCCGATATCGTTTCATCTGCGACGTTCGCAGTCTGCGTTGATATCGGCTTTTGAGACCGGATCGGTCCAGGGGAGGGCTATGCGAATAGAAGTGCCACGGACAGGAAAAAAAAAAACGGCTGATGAGGGAGACTCACGCTCATTATGGATCGGTCTGACCAACAACGAACTGACACGTCTCGCGTCCGCCCGCTTGCACAGGTTGTTCCCTACCCGACCTTCGCAACAATATAACCATGTTGTACAAATCCACCATGATATTTCGATTCCACCTTAATTGTCATGTTTCAGTCGTCGAACGGCCTTCGCAGCAATCCTTCCACTCTCTACCAGACGCAAATAACTGCAACATAATACACAACAGCAGCAGCCGCACGCACGATCCAAAACTAGTGCCGAGAGTAGACGCCAAAAACGTCGGGGAAACAACATCCTTCCGCTGCCTCCGACCTCCGCCGCCTGGAAAGGGAGAGGATGTAAGGCGCCTCAAATCCCCAGGTCGGCGCGCCTCGCGCACCCTTCACTTCACATCAAGAAAGACTTCCCCGCGACCAGAAGACACGGCAACCGCGATCAACAAGGTTCAACCGGAATCAATCATGACAAGAACAAACGAAAGATATAGCACTCTGCTGCATGATCATCATCATCAGGACCACCGTCCTCTCAGCAATGTCAACAACGGAAACTGCCATCTTGAAGCGAGCAGCCTATCTATCAGTCGTCGTGCGGCGTGAGGTTGGCCTGCATCCGCTGCCGGAAGATGTCCCTGACGGGCTTCTTGTGAGGAGCGGCCTCGAGCCCACCAGCGCCGTCGTCCTCGTCGTCGCTGTCGTTTCGCCGCCGCTTGCCCTTGTGGCCGCCGGAGCCGGCACTGATGTCCGTTTCAGGGATATATTGAAGTCGGGGGGGCGGGGCGGGGATAAATCAATTCGTATCGAGCACGGGGGGGAGGACATCATCGAACATCGGCGGGGGTGAAATCATTTAGAACAGGGGGTGGCAGCAAAACCATCGTGAGTGAAGCGCGGTGTAATTTGCAGAAGCAAAGACTCACCTCGTAAGAGAAACAGCGGTGGCGGCGGCGGTGGGGTAACGGGGAAATGCGAGAAAGGAGCACCGTAAACTATGTACACACACACACGCACGCAACAACAGTGTAGTACAGATTGTGTACGAGAAAATAGAGCTTTCGTACCAGCCGGGAATCAACCATCCTATGAACGCTTTCGTCGTGGCGGCCGGTTTTCCCCTTCACTCTTGCCGATTCGGCTTCTTGTCCTCGGTCCAACTCTCGGTTCAACTCTCGGTCCAGCACGGAAGCTCGCATCAACGGATAAAATCGGTGTGGGGGAGAGGCAGCCCGTTCGTCACGGAAGGAATCAGGTGCACGCTGCCGAAAAGAAGCCAACACGATTCGACCCCCCTTCTCCACCGAAAAACACAAAAAGGACAAACACCATGTACCATGTACAGTACCTCGGTTTCCCCGGGAGAGCCCTCTCCCTCAGCGCCTTCAGGAGACCCTCCGCATCCGGCTGGGGCCCGATGTGGCGCGGCAGGGCCATGAACAACTTTCTCAGGAAGGGCGGGATCAGCGGGGAGACGCTCGAGTCCCCCCGTGACCACCCCTCGTCGTCGTTCTCGCTCTCTTTGCCTCCCCCGGGGGAGGCGTTCTTTCCGGGGGCGCCGTCCTTGTCGTCCCCGCCCCGCTCCGCCTTCCCCCCCTTTTGTGAACCCCCTTTCGCTGGGCCCCCGCCGCTGCCGGTGTCCTTGCCTCCGTCTTTCCCGCCGCTATTTCCCCCTTGGGGATTGCTCCTGTCAGGTGGCGACGCAAGAAATACGCGCAACGGGGGGTTGATGAGTGACCCACCCAACGGTGGATGATGTCGTGGTTCACCATGGACGTACTCGAGCACGCCGAGCTTGAGAGCACCGTGGTGTGCGGTAGATCGAAATCATCGCCTCTTTTCTAGCTTGCCCACAAGACCCTCCCTCGACACCGAACTGACGCGGAGCAAGAAAAATCTCAACAAACGCCATCCTCCGCAGGTAGCCAGGGCGGGATCCGTGTATTTAGTTTGGACAACAGCAGCAGGAACAAAAACAGACGACGACAATTGCGACGACTATAACCCATGGGTATGTGCGGTCTGAACACGCGCGCCGCGCTTTAGGCTCTGGCGAGATCCGTGGAGAGGGCGCACACACGTTTGCAGGAACGTGGGAGGGAAGGAAATACCAACAGACCGCGGGTACAGTACAGCTTAGCATAATACCTGTCTCGGTTGTTCCCGTCGCCCGCATCCCGTCCCCTGTTTCCGCTTCTACGGCTTTCCCGTCTCTCGAAGAACATCCTGCGGACAAAACGATAACGTCGGTCGAGGAAAGGAAGGCGGCGAAAGCAAGGCATGGGCATTGACCTCGCATCCCTACAAAGCCGGGACGGAGCACGCCGGGTTCTCACCGGACCAGGCTCTCACATCACCAAGCGCGAAGCGCCGTGAGATATTCGGCGAGTCGCATGAAGGGTGCGCTGCATCCTGCTAAGGGTTTTCGGCATCTTGTGCTTACTTCCTTGCGTACGGATGACAGCTGCGTATGACTTAATTTACTTTCTGGTGCTTTCACTTCCTGAGACAGTTGTAAGCGCTGTGTAACTGCCTCGAGGGTGCTCGACCAATTAAACGCAACGTGATGCGATCATCCCCCTTGCGCGGAGTGAGGCTCGACCCCGCACAACATGATCTACTCGACCACCATTATGGTTACCGGAAAAAAAAACAGAGTTAAAAAAAGAAACGGTAACCTAGTTGTCGAGCTCACGAAGTGAATTGGTTTGTTTTACAACGTCGTTGCCAAGCGACGAAAACCCAATCCCGATGGCAAACACCGAGGGGCGGGGAACCAAAACTGCAATAGCAACAACAAGTGTGGTTCAAAGCACCATATATTGCGAAGACGTGCAGCAGCAGCAGCAGCTGCAGCAGACCTTTCTGGTACAACTAGGCGCATCCAAGGCGTAGGCTTGCACTACTACCTGTCGCTAAAAGCCGAGTCCACCTCTCCTTCCGGATGCATCCCGCACCCCGCCACAGAGCATCGTTTCCACAACGCTAGCAGCCCCGACGGGCCAGAATTATCCTGGTAGACCTGAGTACCTCGGGGCAAACAATCAACGTCGAAGAGCGCGGGTACGGAGGCTTGAATACACCTTAGACTACCAAAATCTACTTGACTTGCCGCTGTCGCACTTCCATTTCCTGTAAAACCGTGAAATGCTGAGTTGGGTTGTCCTGCGCTTTCGGGTACTGCAAACCCTCGTAAAGGTTCACGCTCAACCTCTCGCCCGGGACTCCAAGGAACGTTCGTGGGAAATTTCGACCAAATCCGTGTTCGGAGAAACACCGGTTTACCGGCTTGGCAAAAGAACCGGCGAGGCTGGAGTTCTTCGCCCGAATACTTCCGCAAAGACGGTGCGGCCGAAACTTACGGTATAACAAACACTCTCCTGGAAACCCACTCGAGCCTACACTCCCCGGGGGGAGATTCGGGAGGGGGGGAGGGGGGCGGCGACGGCGTGGCATACTAGCAGACGGGAGGGGGGGTGACGGCATGGCATACTAGGGGGCAATGGCATGGTCCCGTTGACGAGATTGCAACGATAGCAACAAGAGCAGTGCCAACAAGAGCGTTTCGTTCCTTGTCGATTTTCAAGCAGCACGGGGCGTTGCTTTGTTGTCAGAAGTGAGAAGCCGGAAGCTGCAGTGGAAGAGAACGCATGACTGGACCGATTCGACTCTTCCAACTCCTCCTGCAAGTACCTCGAGCAAGTGCACGACTGCCGGCAGCAGCAGCAGCAGCAGCAGCAGCAGCGACTACCACCAGCACAGCAAAAAACACACCTGGTTCATGCGTCTCTCGACATCTTGAGCCTTAGCCAAACTCCCCCCCGTGCTCGAGAAGCACATCTCTAGCTGCACGAACCGCTCCCAAACAGGCCTAGCCCTCTCCGCAGGCATAGCCGACGGGTGCAGCACTCGCTCGAACAGCACCCGAAGGTTCTCCTCGTCGTTACGCTGACCGGGAGGGGGGATTGCAGGGCGGAAAAAAACAGGGGATACTCATGGCTTGCATGCCTTAGCGGTTAGACCGTTGACCATGCGTCCTCGAGAGGTTGGAGCATTTTTTTCCACAGGATCGATCATCGATGGCCAATCGGTCCTTGGGGTTGTGGGGGTCAACAGACGCGAAGGGGGGGAGGGGGGGGGG